ATATGCAAGATTTCTATATTGAAAATCACAAAAATTTGCTGAGAAAAATGGTAAAAGATTCATGTAAATGGATAATGTTACACACGTGAATGCATGTTAGAGAAGTTAATTACTAACTCTGACACTGGAGGCTATGTTAATGTACCCAAACATTAATAATAATCCTTGATTTTTCAGATGTTAGCCTTATTCTGGAAGCCCAGAATAAAGACATTTCCTAATATATCAACAGGAAGAGGCAGGAGAGGAAAAGACAATACACAAAATTATTCAATTTACAGCTTGAATCTAAGCATGGTTCTTTTTTCTCAATATACCATCTTGTAATTTTATTTATTAAATATTGTTCTAAAAATAAAAAACCCAAACACAAACTATATAAATTAAGGATTAATATGAACAGTCTTCCTATCTTCTAAGATGCTAGCAGTCACTCTCATAGGTAGATAACCCACCACTATGATGGCATAATTTTATTTAATTTGCAAGTATTAAAAAAAAACTACCAAAACATCAGAAGTAGGTTTGGGACTGATCTCTCATGAGCAGCACCTGTTTACAGATAGACTCGCTGATCAGGTATGCTTCTCCAAAGAACTGAGAAAGGCATCATAAAGTGCATCAATAACTTAAAAATATTTTGCCCCAATAATAGGTTTGTCCCTTGCTCATAAAGGATCAATGAGACATTTAACTTTAAAAAAACAATTATAACCTAGTACTCTATATGGCTTTGTAAATTTAACTTAATTTGTAGATATGTTTGCCTTAAAATTGAGTAACTAAAACTATTTCCTATAAAAATCGACATGGCTGGGTATAGGTGTAGAACAGGTACAATCAGTCCCTTTAAGGTTCAGGGCGTTAGTGAATTTTTTTTTTAAAGGTACAGATAGTAAATATTTTAGGCTGTGCAGGCCATATATTCTTTGTTGCAACTACTCAACTCTGCCATCACTGTGTGCTCCAAAGCAGGTAGACATAAAGCAAATGAAATGAGTGGGTAAATAATTGTGTTCCAACATACTGTTTACAAAAACAGGAGGCTTTGCCTGTGGGCCAGTTTGCTGATCCCTGTATTGGAGTAGTATCTTGGCTTTTTTTCACACTTCAGAGATCCTGCTCATTCTCTGAAGTTACCAAAATTATTTATCAAAGATAAGGATTTCAGCCTTGATTTAATCATAAAAGGCTTTGGTAGTGGTGACATTAAGGGGTATACACTTACTCTGGCTACTTCACAAGATTGAAAATCCTATGTCAACTTTAAAGCAGTACATGGTATACTGTATTATTAATAATTCCTTACTTATTATAGCATATAAATCTGAATGGCTATATACTACGAAAAAAAAAATCAAACCTCACTAATTAAAACTTTCATAATATGCCTCTCTTTAAAATTATTTCTCTTATCTTCCCATTCCATATGAAATCTACTGGCTCAAGCTTTGGGTTTACTAGGTAGAAAAGACTGCTTCCTAAGGCTTAGTACCCTTTAACTAAAGAGAGTTTTTTTTTTTTATTTCTATTACTTGAAATATTCTCTATATTTTTATATACTATAAATGGAGCACAGTAGCCCTTTAATCCTTTATTTAAAGGACATATTGTGCTATAGAAATAATTTGAAAGGATAGAGCTGAAGTTACACTTCACATCTCCCTTCCCAACCCCCACCCTACTCTAACCCCAGACCAGTATGTTCGCTCTCAGAGTGAAAGGGAAAAAACAATGAACAAACAATAAATACAAAAGACAGGTAGTTCGCCATATGTTAGAGGCAGATCCCATGCGAACTTTCTTTCTTCCTAATGCTGCCGCCAGGCAGCTCTGAAGTAGAAGAACTCTATATGGTTCCCAGGGGGATGGAGATACACTGGTCCCAACTGAAAAGCAGGGAAAGACATCTTTGTTTTTTCTTAGTTACTACCAGTACAATTACACGTTGATTATTCCCAAGGTATATTTCATAAATATCTAGAGCCAGCTTGATTTAAAATTATTATTAACATTATTAAGAAATTCAAATATAGAAAGTAATTTTGGTAGTAATTTGGTTTCACTGTAGTTAAGTGGGAAACCTTTTATATGAAAACAGCTACTCTGTGCCTGGGCTGAAAGGTGAATCTAAGGCTACAAGTAAGAAGAAAAAACAGTCCTTACTAAACTGGATTACAAAGTCAGAATGCCTTGTGAAATAACACTATCCACCCATCTTTGCACTGGGGTAAATATGCCTGTGAGTTGTTTTTGACAAAAATTATATCAACTCAGTGTGACACATCCCACATGAACAGAAGATACTGGTATGTCATGCAATTCATTTTTTTTAAAAAAGAATAATGACTAAATAAATGAATAAATGCAGTTTCTTTGATGGAGCAAATTTAAAAACTCAAAACCCATAAAAGGGGGTCCTTGGTGGTTAAAAGGTTATCTGTCTGAGATTGGTATTTTATCTAGTATAGAATGGAGAAAAATGAGTAAAAAATAGGAAAGAAGAGCCAGGTGACTATTTCTAAACATTTCTGAGTTGTTCCCTTGGTATGCAGGTTTTAAAAAAAAATTATTACTTACAGTGTCAAAGTACTTTCAAATTCAAATAGAATCTCTCAGTAGCTATTTATAATGGGTATATCTTTCATCTGATCAAAATTTTAAAAGCAGATTCCTGCTATTCAAAGAAGACCAACTAAAAAATTACTATTAATGATACCATATAATCTGAGGGTAAAGTTTAGGTGTTCACACCCCGCTTACACTAAGCCGAGTAAGTGTGACAACTGTCAGTTCTGTCTTAATGGAGGCTAATACCAGAAGCCTTAAAACCATAGTCTTCCTTTTCCAATGCTGGGAGGCAGTTCTGAAGTGGAAGAAATCTTTATGGTTTCCAGGGGATAAAGATATATAGAATGGTAGCAAGTTACTATCTAAAAGCAGGGAAAGAATTTTTAATCTATTTTTTTTTTTTTTTAGAGACAGAGTGTTTGTCACCCTGGCTAGAGAGCAATGGCATCACTGTTGCTCACTGCAACCTCAAACTCCTGGCTCAAGGGATTCTCCCACCTCAGCCTCCCAGAGTCCTAAGATTACAACCATGAGCCACTGCGCCCAGCTTCTTAATATCATAATCATAATCTACAATTATTGAACTGAGATGAAGATAAATGATAACGTAACTTCCTTGTACGTTGGTTCCTAAGAACTTCCTAGATCATGATATTTACACTGGAGTATGGCAAATTAAACGTAAGTCATTAAAGTTAAAAGATGGAAAGTATGTAACAAGAAAAGAATCCTGAATTGTTCTACAGTTTAAAAAATACCTAAAAATCACAGATTGGTAAATGGATTGTTTTCAAGAGAACTAAAGCTCCAATTATTAAAATAGCATAGTGAAATAAGCTAGTCCATAAATCTGAAAATAGGTACTAAAATTCTCAACTTCCCTCCCCTCTTCTCAGTTTGCTAGTAACAGTCTTTAGAAAGTCATTCGGCTTCAGTTTTTTAAGTCTTGATCTTCTATCTCCTCTTATTTTTAGTTAGAAAACTGAAGAACCAAAAGATTTGGTCAAGCATTTTGAAGAAACCAGAAAATGAAGTTAAATTCAGACGATCTGAAATATAAAATTGAAAATACCACTTAAGGATATATTAATAAAATACCAGTTTTGGTTGTCAGTGGTGGCAAATGGTTTTGCTTGTTTGTTTTCAAAGTACATACACTCATGACTATATGAAAAGAAACTGAAGCACTGGCACACATACATAAAATTTATCAAAGGGCATACTATTATTATTGTCTACCCTCTATGGGTTAAGGAAGATTTTTAGAGGTCAGGGAAAGCCCTTTTTATTCAATGTAGCACTTACAAAAAGCAGAACTACATAAATACAATTATTGCTCACTTAAAGGATAATCTAAGCAATGTAAGGTTACTTTTGCTTCCTCTCATCCCATCTACTTTCTGCACATAGAAAAGGAAGAGGAAAAGTTTTAGCCACAGAAAATGTCAGCTGCTTTCCTAGGGAGTTCAATAACAGCTCTATATCACATAATCCTAGCTTTTTCCTTAGAACATCACACAAGAACACTAAGGGAAATACTGCTGCGGAGAGGGAGAGGAAAAGGGAAAGGGATTTATGTATGTATGTACGTATGTATTTATATACGTATGTATGTGTGTGTGTGTTTGAGAAAGAGAAAGCGAGAGGGGATTATATTCTTAGAAGATAGACATATTAACAACATGGTTCCTATAATTCAGTGTTAACAATTATCTAATTGATATATGCGCTATTTTCAACTGGGTCAAACATAAAACTAATAATCTAGAGTTGTATATTACCATAGATAAGAATCAGTTATAGAGTAGGAAAATCATATTATATGTGACCTTCGCTAATATTAAACATATTTCTTAATCAGACAAACCAAAAATAGCAGCTTTATTTTAAAAGATATAGAAATAACTTTTAAAAAACAGTTAAAATCTGAACAGTTTAAGAGAGGAAAATTTGTTAAATAATAATTATTAGTATGAAAATATGCTTTAAAAGTTAAGAGATTTAGAATTCAAAACTTTGACAAGTAAGTGCTCAAATCAAAATATAATTCTTTTGTGAGTTTTCAGACATTGTGTGAAAAATCTGGAATAATTAATTATAGCATTGATCAGTAAAACCCAATTAAAAACAGTTATACCATAGCAAACAGAAATGAATTACCTCGTCTTCGCCCATAACTCCTTGCTGCATGTAAACAAAGGACAAATCGTAAAATGTCAGAACTAAAAATAAGCCCACGTGTACAAATATTTGTGAAATGGAAAGCTATGTGGGCATCTGGAAATTAGCGCTACTTTAAGAGCTATGACAATGTCACCATATAACATTTGCATGATGTTTTACCATTTACAAAGCATGTATATGTGTGTGTGTGTTATCTCAACCATATGAACCATATGAAACTGTGAAATTAACAGGAAATATACAATTTATTGTCATTTGTGTTAAAATTCACAAATACTGGTTTCATCTGATCATGATAGAAATATATGACACGTTACAGTTAAATAGCATCCCAAATAATTTTCATAATGAATGGAAACATCTTGAATTAAATTATTTTTCTACTTATTATAAAGAGTGATATGGCATATATAATCCAATAAATAGCTATTTAGATCCAATCTGCATTATACCAATCCCTGCACAGAAGTAGTGCTGGAAGACACAGATGACTAAGAAGATACACCGCTATTCAACTGATACTCCAAAGCCTGTACAGCTTCGATAGAATGTAAGCAATCAATCCATGTTCAAATTTGCTTAGTTACAGAAATGATTAACAATATACTATAGATAATAATGCTTTTTATCTTTTTGAAACATTTTATACCAGCTATCCACTAAGTGTTTATGTGTCTGCCTTTAAAATACAAGGGATTCAGATACAAATTACTATTAAGATCATCATAGGATAATAATACATATATTAAATACTATAAAAGTATAAAGCAGAAAGGCATATTTCAATCTATGTTACTTGATGTTTGCATAATTCCTATGGAAAAAAATAAAACTGTATTTTTTTTCATAAACTACCAGTTTGATAAAACCCACAAATTGTTTTTAAATTACACTTTCTCACAAATCTGACTACACGATAAGTAATTTTACCCTGGAATTAATAGATGAAGTCCAGGTGGTAAACAAACAAACAAACAAATAAAAATGACTATTAAAATTAAGATCTTATTTCACGTTCATAGATTTTTTTAAGCTTGGGAAAAACTCAATATATAATAAATCTCAAATCAGAATATTTATTAAAAATTGTCAGAAATGTAGTCTTCCCAAGAGCATAAAATTTAAAGATCACATTATTAAATATATTCTCTTATAAAAGTTTTACAAAATATATTTTTAATTTTATACTAAGGTTTATAATACAATGAAGTGTGCCTACAAGGTGAGAATATAATATTAGTTCCTCTATAATAAAAAGTGGGAAAAACTAACTTGTCAACTGTTAGTCATTTATACCTCTAAGAAATAAGTGAATACATACAGGTTTATCACAGCCTTTTATATAAAACTAACTTCATTTGCATTTCTGCCATTCTAGCATCTTTATTTAGCTATATAATCTACCATACACTTAACCTGTCCTTGAGCTCCAATTACCTCAAAGCCTGGCAGATTTATTTCATAGCTTACCTGACCTATATATTAGTTTAGGGTGAGGGTAGAAGTAGCATTTAGAATTATGTTGTCTAGGTCTTCTAAGACTTATAAAGGCCTTAAAAAAAATTTCAAAGTGATGGGAGATCAACTGTGAAAAATAAGACTGATAAAAGAAATTTTAACAGAACTATCAAGAATAGGCTATAGAAGAGTAAATTCTCTGAAGTCTTAATGGTTATATTAATCCTAGAAATGGTCAATAGGCCCCAAAACACTTCACAGCATGAATCAGGAATTGGGCTTCCTACTTATCCCTATGAATAGCGTAATGATATTAATTCAGTATAAGTTTGTTTTGGGGAATTTCATTCATGAGTGTAGAGGGTCAAAGATTTATCAAGCAAAAAACTATTTCATCAAGTTTAAAGTCAAATGATGAATTATGATGAAGTCATAATGTGGCACATAACTCTTGACTTATTGAGAAAATCAATGACATCATAACCAGTTTATGTTCTTAGCTGTTATGTTCTTAGCTGAGGCTACAATACTAAAATGGAGAAAATATGTATAAATTTCATTGCATCTTAAGTTTCATCTCATTCCTAGGCTTGAACATAATTATTTAGAAAAGTTCTCCAACTATCTCATACCTGAGGAATTTCAGAATCCTGTAAAGAGTTATTCCACTTATTTTTTGGACAACTTTCAGATTCCAAGTCTCTACATTACCAAAAATAGAACTGACTGCAGATGAAGCTAAACCATGTGAAACATTTCCTATTCCCCGTCATGGAAATAACCAATCTGCTACCATTACACAAAACAATGGTTTGTGTACTCACTTTCCTACCAATGTTCCTATGTGAATTTCTGGAGTATGTTCTACTATAACTCCGGATCAGAATTATCAGAAAGAAAGAAGAAAAAAATATCATTACCTGACTATTACATTTTAAAAAAGACTTCTTTAAACAATATACCCCTCCAAACTTACTTAGAATATGATTTAGAAAAAAAAGATGGGGAAAATCTGTTGTATAAAAATTGTATTTATAACATTAAATTTCAAGTAAATCTATTTTATAAAGCATTACAAAAACATTTATACAAAATGAGGAACAGGCTACTTAACATACATATGCATACCTATGTATATATGTACATATATGTCAAAAATATATTATTGATCTATGTGTTTGTTTATTTTAAGATAATAAGAAGGCTCTGGAAAAAGCCTGAAGATCCCTCCTATACAAATGACTTTACAATTTGGTCCTAGCTTCCAAATAATCTTAAACTGGGACCCACAGCTACCAAAGGGAAACAGGATGATCCTCACCTTCTGATTAGGGGCTTTGTGCTCTGTGTATTGGCTTACAGCTACAACTGCGGTAGCTGGATTACTGCAGCCAGAGGGAGGGAAAGGCAAACCTACCAAATCAGCTGGAAATAAACGCAAGCTAAAGTTCTCTTGGTGAGGAAACTAAAGAAATTTTTATTTCTTCAACTTGAAAAAGTCAAAACTAAGGAGAGAAATATGTAATCCAAATCATAATCCTTTTCAAGACTCAAAAGAAATCTGTTATCTACTCTACTTTTTCTGCCAGCATACAAAAAAACTGATGGCTAGCAAGTTTCCCATCTTCATATTTCATATAGTGAATTTAGAGGATTTGCCTTCAGAAATGAAATTTTGTTACTGAGTAAATTTTCTTAATTAAAAAATACACATAACTTTTTTCTTCCTAAAAAGTACAGTAAGCTCTTGTTCACACACATAGCTGTGTATGTGGGTAGTCACAGCAAATTTAAATTTCAATCTAGCTTGCTAATACCATTCCTGATCCCCCTAGCTGCTCCCCACGTACTTATTTCTGTTCTATTTGTTTCCCTTTTGAAAAACCATTTGTACTAATGAAAATGTAAGCTGTTTTCCTTGGGAGAGTACAGTGCAATCCAAATATAAACACTTGAATGATGTATTACTCTCTACTTTTTCCTTACTACAATGGGAAACAGGGATTTTTTGGTTTGTTTTTTTTTTACTACTACTAATAAAAAGTGTAAGATTTATACACTTAGAAATACAAACATTCAAGTTGTCATTCTAACTTCAGACAATACTTACTTAGTCTTTGGTTTTCAGACAATCTACACATCCCTATATAATGTGACCTCCCTAAAGTGCTTCTGGATGCTAAGTATGGACTCTTCTACAATATTTTAACTATTCAAGAGTGGCTGTCTCCAACTGTCAATTTAACTTAATTTGAGGAACACAGTCTATTCAGGAGTAGGACACTGATTGTAGCTATATTTATATGGCACTTTTAAATTGTTTTAAAAATGTTTTTACCTATATAGCAACTTCATGAGATGTGGTATTATACTGCCTTTTTTATATATCTGAGTTAACAGAGACTCAGAGTTAAGGATTTGCTAGAGGTACTTCATAGTTTTACGCATTTGACCAACTTCCTGACTTTTATCCCATTCCCTGTTCATCCCGTAGTTATAAGGAGTATTTAAAGGTTTAACCATAATTGCTAATTAACTATTAAGGTAGAATCATAAAAACTTTACAATGTTTGCCATATCTGCCTAACAACTGTATTATTATTTATACATTACTTGTTATCAAAGGGACTCAAAACTAACATCATTGTAACATCACAGATTTCTGTCAGTTCCGTATTTTTAAGGAATGTTCTTTAATTGTAATAGTTATGCATTTATTTTAATGTGTATCTGTGTATATCAAAAGTCATTTTGGGTATCCCAGGGCACCACACTTCAGAAAATACTGTCTCAAGAGAGTTATTCTACCTTTTGACCCAAATTTGTCTCAATATAGCTTCTACCAAATGGTTCTAGTTTGGCTTTGTGCAGTAACATAAAATGAACTTTCTCTGGTAACTACATATAGTATCTTTCAAATAGTTGAAAGTACCAGTTAAGTCTTCTCTTAATTTTATATTCTCCAAAGAGAACACATCTAACTCCATCTATCACAGGACATGATTTTTACTCTTTTCAAAGTCATTTTTGTCACTTTTCACCATCACCCACTAGACAACTAATGTTTACTTTGAGAAATAGTTCTAAATACAGGCATGAATTCACTCACTCCTCCCTTACAACAGTCCCCCCTAGGCAGGCAGTATGCTATCCCTGTTTTAGACATGGAGAAACTGAGTCAAAGTGAAGTTAGATAAACTGTACAAAGTTACACAGATAGAAAAAGCAAACTGGGTTTAAAACACCCAGATAATCTGGCTACAGTCTGTGGTACCAACCACTATGAACTACTGCTAAACCACTATAGAAATAGACTGATGCAAAATTTATTAGTAAATATTGGTTTTTAAAGCCAACAGTATTAGCTATGCTCATTTGTTAAGTAATGCAGCTTACTTAACCAATTGCCTAATAGTGAGTTAAATCTGTGATATACTTAAAAAAAACTTCAATAATTCACAAAGGCAGTCTATGTACTATAACGCAATTTCTTTAATCAGTCAATAATACTTAATAAATACTTAGTATAGGCAGAGCCTTATACTAACATCCCTTAATTCCACATTTCCTAGGGAGACAACATGCTTAGAATATAGTTGAATTACATGTAGTTAAAAAATAGCTGAAGAAAAATTTTCCCTTACGTTTTAGTGCCCTTCTTTGCCTAGTTCTCTCTTCAATAACCTTGAAGTTTACTATGATTATTTAAATTCTTAATATTTCCTTATCCCACAAATATACCCAATTATATAATTTTTGCTTTGCCTTTTAATCAATGATCCCAAATGAGTAAAAGAAATTTTCACCCCTTGGATCAAAGTATCTCTTTTCCCAGCCAAAACACATTTTCATGACCTAGTTTCATTATCTTTTTTTCTCCCCTAGTCCCTTGCCAGAAAAAGTTCAGAATTTCCAGTTGGCTTCCTGTACTGAGTATGAATTGTAGCTCCAAATGGCAGACCGCTGAGAGTGCTCACATAATAATTTTTTATTTGTCCACAGATGCAACTCTTGCCTGAAATGTGATGAAACACTTTTCAACCTAACATCTATATTATTTATAAGGGCTCTTGGCAACTGACAAAATCAATCAATAATCTTTAGTGTAACCAAAAACGTTAAGTTGCAAAAACAGTATGACTACTAAGCTTCTTTGCTTCCACATAACTGAAATATTTTATCGTGCATACATATCCTTCTGGATCATCCTTGCTAACTATCCACTCAGCGATTTAAAAACATCTGTGAAGGATCTAACAAATTATCTCATAGAGTACTTTCTTTCAAATGGACTATAATAGAATATGTGAAATAAATGTAAATTCAAGTTTTTCAACAAAAACGTTTTTCTACTTTTCCGGAAGTTAAAATAGAAATGAGAGTGATCTTTATGCATCACACAGAATGTTAAAACAAAAAGAAAAGTATTTAAGTTAGTCGGATCAACACATAAATAATTTATTGTTACCTAAATTTATCATCATTTTATAAATCAACCCAAGGGAATACCAAAAATTATAAGCTATTTTCAGTTCCGTAAACTCAGTTTCATCAGTATCATTTTTCAGTCATAGATTTAGAGTCTGAGACCAACTACTCAAATGATATGGTTTTTATATTACACAATAGAAAAGTAAGTTGAACGAAGATGTCCTTAAATGAAATTTCTAGTACCTTTCCAGTCTAAGTGGATGTAAATATCGTAGTTTGCTAAGTTCACAAATGGGGCCTACTGAACCACCGTGAGGTCTGGCCTGGACATGGCTTCCGCCTGGAGTGCTCATGCTGGGCCTAGTGCTACCTTGACAATTCTGCCTCTAACCATCCTGAAAGATCCTCACTTAAGTAACCCAGTCCTTAGACTAGGCTGGCCTGTGGTGGACAACTCAATACAGTGAAATGTTGAACAAACCAATCAACTCCTCACTCTATTTCATCAATTTTTCTCTCATTCCAAAATCCTATCTACCCTGACAATTTCCCAGGTGGCCTGAACTTTATTTCCATTTTCCTGTCACTACAGTCTTTATTTAATATTAGTTTCACATGGTCTAGCTTTACATTGACCTTATTTTCAGGCTTTGTTCCCCAACTTCATTGCTATTTTATTTCAACAAAGCTTTAGTTGAAATAGAAGAGCCAAGCCATTCTAAAGATATTATGATTTTTAAAGTAAATATGATTTCTATTCCTTCCTCTTCCTATTACCCTCCTCCACCCACCCTGATTTAAAAATACTTTTGTGAAGGATATTTTAATCTTCTATCTCTACTTCCACAATCATGGATGCATTAAGCACTGTGACTCTTTGAATAAGTTAATGTTTGTCCAACAGAAAGAAAACAAACTTCAATAAAAGTTTATTTATTCTTTTCCTTATTCTGGTGCACTTTACTATGTAAACTATCTAGTTTGAATAAATTTGGTGTGATCACCATATTTACAGAGTCATTAGTCTATTCCTTAGTTAAACGTAAACACAAGTGCTACACTAAGTAACAAGTTCTTCTGCACTTTGCAAACACTACATCCTTTAATTCTCATAATAAACCTTAAGACTATATTCCCATTTCATAGATGGGGAAACTAAACTAAGGTCATAGTTACTTGCGCAAGGTTATACCTTAAACTTGAAAGCCAATATTCAAACTAGGACTGCCTCCAAAGTCTTTGATCGCTGAATTAAAACCGTATTATCACAAATGCACTTTAACGACTGCTTTGGCAGCCAGAACATGCTCAGATTCCTAATTCTGCTTTCTGTATAGGCATAGTTGTAGCTTTATTTTTATACTTATAAAACGATTACTTGTGCATATGGGGTAGGTTCAGAGAAACACGTATTTAATCATCTTTATTTCTATAAATTAATTAGAAACATAAAATGTTTTTATAAAACTTACCATTTAACATCAACAGATTGTCAGTTCCTGGATGTGGATAGCTCAATCGACCTTTAAAAAGACAGGAAAGGGGAGTTTGAAGATTATGGAGCTATTTGAAAAGCAAAGAAAATAAAAAAATGAAATAAAAAATGCAGGGTAAGAGAGAAATTATTCAGTGCAGTATATTAAGAACTAAAAAGCTAATGTTTAACTCAGAGTATATTAACTAAAATTATCACTGAAAGTTGAAAATAAAACAAAAACAGTTAACCTTGGTTCCTAGATCATAAGGACACATTGTGATTTGGGAGCAATGCCAACAGAATAAAGCTTATTTGTTTTTTGAAATATAAAAACAATGTAGATATCCTAGTTTTGCAAACTTAATATGGGATGTGAATTTTTTTTAATCTTTTCAAAGCTGTTTGTAATTTTCTCTATAGATGTCTTTTGCCAAAAATAAAACTTGAAGGAAAGGAATTTATCTTCCTAAATCAAAAACAACTAAAATGTTAAAATAAAAAGTAAGCAGAAAAAACTCATCACAACTTGCCATTTAAGTCAATGTAGCCTTATACAGTCATATTTAGATAAAGAAATTTAATGAATGCATCTTAATTGTATTGTTACAAATGTTATTGAAAATTTAACTTGTTCAATGTTTATAGATGACTTAAAAATAAAAATACAAAAAATGAAAATATTAAAGCTTATAAGCACAGTAGCATAGTATTTCTTCTGAGCCATTCTTCATTCAAAAGTTTTGTTTACTAAATGCAGAAGGGACAACAGTACTACATATAGCCGTGGAGAAGATTAAAGGTACACATGAAACACACTGTGGTTTATCCAGAGATTTTACATCATAACACTTATCTGACAAAATCCAACAGCAAGGATGATCATTATTTCTAGTCGATTAAAAAAAAAAACACAGGATTTTTTTCAAATGCCTGAATCTCTAATAGATTATTTAAAAGCTATATTAAAATCTATTTAGAAAATTGATAAAAATTAAATGTATGGATTTGTATTTTAGCAACTTTCAAGCACAGTCCCTTTAATCCACTTATTTACTCCCAAGTTTCATGCAGCATGACATTAGTTAACAAATGACCTTTAAATAAAGTTGTCATACTCTAAAAACATACAAGTGAGTTTATTGTTGTGATACCTTAGCATGGAATAAGAAACAGGTGAATATGCACAGGAAGTACAAAACAGAAGGGCCAGGAAGCACAGCTTTCCTAAACTGGACTTCAGTAACACAGAACAGTACTTTGAAGTGTCATAGCTTATTTTGGAAATATGCCCATTTCTAAACATCTTGCTGCAGATGGCCAAATTTAGAGAACAATTTAAGGCCATCAAAAAATTACTGTTATTTCTGACTTAAGATTTAAAATAAAAAACTCCTACAAAAGTGGTAACCTCTGTTGCTGTTCAGTATAACAAGTTAATTAAATCTTCCACATTGACAGTGTGTAGCATGCAGAGGATATAAACATGAGTAAGGCAATCTCTGCTTATGATGTGGTAGGGGAGATAGACACAAATATACAGTTTCAATAAAATCTGCTAAGTGCTAAAAGAGTTATGTACGGTATGTTATATTCAAAAAAACCATAATGGCGTATTTAATCAAACCCAATAATTTAGGCAAGACTTCCTGGAAATGTAAACCTGAAGCCTAGTTCCACCTTGAAAGACACTCAACTTTAAATTGCCACATAATTATTCTCTCATACATTCATCGTTCACTATTTATCCCAAGATACAGGTAACAAGATACATTCACTGATAACCGGTTTTTGATATCTTCGCTCTGAATGGACATAAAAGGCACATTATATGTAGAAAATTGAAAAGACAGATACCTATTTGCAAATGAACATGTATTTGTATACATGTTCTAAAATATTAAAGCCCTCCACATAGACAAGTCTTTCAATATAACTAAAAAAAGTACTCCAAAATGAAATAAGCAAATTTAGACTCGTTTTTAAGTTACCCATACACTTTTCCTCCGTGAAAATTTTAATACATCTTGCAAGTTAACTTTTATAGTTTTACTTAGGATATTATTAAGACCACTTTCACTAAGAACCTGCCAATTGATAGCAGTAACTAACAACATTTGAGTGTTTACTATGTGCCAGGAACTTTTCTAAGTTCTTTACAACCAATTATTTAATCCCAACAACAGTCTCATGAATTAGGTACTATTATCTTCCCATTTTAAGATGAAGACACTGTTATCATAAAATGTTAAATAACTTGCCGAAGGTTGTATCACTGGGAAGTAGCACTGGCAGGGATTTGAACCTAAGCAGTTTGGCTCCATATTTTTAATCACGACTTACTATTCATAACACAATATAGAGAACGGTACATATGGTGGGTTGTAGGATAAATTCGTCCATTAAAAAAATTCACAGAATGATTATAGCATATTAGATAACAAACTTTAATATAGAAAGATAGAAAAAAACCACATTGCTATAAAACCAATTCGTCCTTATTGTGTAAAAGACCTGTGGTGTAGAGATGGATAGTTGTACACTAATACCTACCTGTTCCTGTCAATAATAGGGACCTCAATGTTAGATAGGAACAGTGCTGCCCAGAGAAAAAAGCTGCATTTCCTAGCCTTCCTTATAGTTAAGTGTGCCTGTGTATATATAAGAACTGGACAATGGTATAGAAAGTAGAAGTGGTATGCGCAATTTCTGGGAAGTACTGTATCCTTAAAGGGTCCTTCTTCCTTCTTTCCCTCTTTCCTATTTGCTAGAATGCCCATGTGATAGCTGACCTGAAGAAGTCATATTAGACCAGGAGGCAGAAATTGGGTGTTAAGGATAACAGAAGAACAAGATGAAAGGAGCCTGGATCCATGGAAATCACCATACCCCTCTAGGAGTGTTAATGCTTCTGAAAGAGAAACAAACTTCTATCTTATTTAAGTTACTTAGGAGTTTTCTGTTGTCTCAGAAGAACCTAAACTTACAAATAAAATCTTCTAGTAATAAATTTGGGAAAATTGAATTTTAGGTAACCAGATGATGGCTTATTTACTATTGTGGAAATATGATAAAGTATACTAATTTCATAATGGTTTTATATATCTATAAATAATGGGTATGTACTATCTCTTGGTACTTCTTTTATATTAAGATACTGATTTAAAATAATTAAAAAATATGTATTTTCAGGTGTCAGTGAATAACTGGAAGACCTGCAGTATCTTAAAAATTGCCTTATTAGTGTATCATGATTTTAAATATTAATTTGTATAATACATATACAGTTGGCCCTCTTTATCTGTGCGCTCTGCATCTGTGGATTCAACCAACCACTGATTGAAAATATTTGCAGAAAAAAAAATTCCAAAAAGCAAAACTTGAATGTTTTTGTTTTGTACACTAAGTACAATATTGAATCCATGCAAATGAAGTGATGTCTAGGCATTATATTAGATATTGTAAATAATCTAGAGATGATTTAAAGTGTATAGGAAGATGGGTGTAATTTCTATGCAAATACTATACTATTTTATAAGGGACTTGAGCATCCCAGATTTTGGGATCCCTGAGAAGTCCTGGAACTAGTCCCCTATGGTTATCAAGGGAATATTGCATAAAAGCCCTATTTTATATTAGCCACTTTAAATGTATATCTGAGTAACTAAAAATGCTAAGAAATATAAGAACTGCATACACCTTATCATTTGTATAGACAAATTACCAGATTACATCTAGAACAAATATCTGGTCCCTCGTCCTCTACCATTCTAATTATACTGGCCTCTTTGCCATTTCACAAACATGTCAGGCATATTCCCATTTCAGGATCTTCCTACTTCCTCTTTTTTTCTGCTTGCAATGCATTTGCCCAGATATGACCAAAGCTTGCAACCCTCACTTCATTGAGGTCTTTAAGAGATGGCATCACAGATCATCTCACCTAAAATAGCAGCTTCTTTCTTTCTATAGCCCCATGATATTATATTTTTTCTTCATAGTACTATTATCTAACATTTTTAACTGTCTCTATACTTCTTTAAAACAAAGATCCATGAGGGCAGGGACTTTGTCTCTTTTATTCTCTACTGTATTTCTAGCATCTAAAACAGAGCTTAGCACATAATAGGTTCTCAAATATTTGTTGGATAAATGAAATATTTTATTCCATGATGTGAACCACAGACTCAATCGAATGCACAGATGTCTTAATATGTATATTTGCGGCATGGGAAGGACATTCTCTAGGAAAATGAAAAAAAATCACAGAACAAGACTTTATTTCAGCTCATTGCTAAATCCCTTAAGTACTGGGGGGTAGGGGAGTGGGGAGATACTGCAAAAGTTGCTCATTGCTATTTGCCAAAGTAGATTTCTCTCTTCTCCACAACTAATCTCTTTTCCTTAATGAATAAACACAAAAAATGAACTTCAAAGCCCCAATATTCAGTTAATGATGCCAATCCATTTCTCATCAGTGATGAGAAAATTGTTAAAGAACGATGTCACATGTTCTGCCAACTGTTTTCAACAGAAAAATAAACATTTAAATCACTTACTAGAATCATAAAGAGCTTGGGTTAGAATTAACATTAGACCCGTTAAAAAGACAGGCAGTATGGTACAGTGGTTAAAAGCACAAACTCAAGAGCTACCAAGTTCCATCACTTATTAGCAGTTGAAACTTAGACAATTATTAAGAGTAAGCCATAGTCATCCAACTGTAAAATAAGGGTAAATATCTACCTTTTAGTCATGCCGATTAAATACATTAAGTATACAGATAGAGTCACCAGGAAAAGTGCTTAAATGTGTCAAGTACTCAGTAAATGATACGTATGCTATATAGAGTATATGTATATTAAACACACACCCTTAATTAAAGACATCTAATACTTCCTATGTGCTTTAAATAAAGCATTGCTCCCACTCATTTGATAGACTCTTCTAACATTTTTCATAATACATATTTCACCTTTACTGCCAAATCCAATTAGAAAAACAGGTTCGTATGAAGTCTGGTAAAATCCACATAGAATGTGGCCATTACCAACCTTGAATAACTCCAACCTCTGCTCAGATCCAAGGG